CGATCTTTGTTGTCACTTTGCTTCACATTTTTCTGATTTAAAAAATGGTTATGGAATGGATTAACCTTATTTACATTGAACCTTATGGGGAAATTGGACTTGGCTCATGGCCAGTTTGGGTCACGACCAGAGTCGTGGAAAGGGTTAAGTTCGTGAGCCGAGGTCCCGCTGGATTTTGTGCGTGTTTTGTGCACATGCCGCCTATTCAGCGGCCCGTCGGCCATGTTTTTCTCCTCTGCTCTTGCAAGCCTCCATGTTTGTCACCGCATTCAAATGGGGGCTTCTGCTCGCCATTGCACAACTCCAGCTGAATTCAAATATAGCTGTGTCGTTTAGGAAGGATCCCAAAAGCATTGCATAGGAGTTGCAACTCACTAAATTTGCCAAGCAGTTGCTGTGCAGGGCTAGAAGGAACAGGTGAAGACAGCATCGACAGACAGCCCCGCACTGGGGCCAGAGCCAAAAAGAGAGCAGCACACCATGCTTGTGCCTTTGTCTCCGGACAATTCCAGCTCTCCCTGCAGTTCAACCAGGTTCTGATCCATACATGCTAATTGGCCCCTTTAGCAATTTCAGGCATGGAAAAAGAGAACATTGACATCTGCTGGGTTTGAAAGTGCAGCTTCGAAAGTGAGTTCTGTGAGGCAGAAATGTAAAAACGTTGGGGCCTGTTTTGCACTGTGCAAGACTTTTCTGTGGCCAGTGAAGTACAAAGGGGATTGTTTTGGGACAAAGGGCAGCTCGGATTGCTCCGTGTATAGGGAAGGCGCTAACCAAAGCTTAAGAGGAAAGAGAACGGTCGGGCCGAGCACAGGAAACGGAATCTGCCGGTTCCCAAGAGGAACCTTGAACGAGGCATGCCCGTGGGGCAGGGAGCGGCCAGAGGCCGAGGCTGGGGCATGCCCAGGGAGGCCCAGCCCGCGCTCGCCCTTTGCTCCCCGGACTGGCCTGCAGGGGCCGCGGGGTCGCCTGAGCCCCAGCAGCCCGGCCGGCCCCTGCTGGCCCGCGGGGCGCGCCCGGGCGCAGGCGGCGACGTTCAGAGCCCGCACGTGAGTCGGGCGCCCGGCTGGAAGCGGGGAGCCCAGGGCCGGGGGTGTTTCCGGGGCGAGCGCCCCACGAAGCCGCC